TCCTGACAAGCGAACCAGTGACTTTTAGAAACAACTTGAGAGACGCAGTGAAGGGTGCAGACTGCAGGCAGGATATACAGGACCAGAGTGTGCTCCAGTGGTCCAAGTGTCCCCAAGTACCAGCCGTCTCTGCAGAGCTATGGAGGCCTGGTGACATCACTGTGGCCGCTGTCCCAGCTCTGGTTGTCACTGGGTGGTCAATTCAGTGTTCACCTCACTTCTCAGATCAGCCCAGGGCCAACCCTACAAGCTTCACAGACCCAAAGGAGCCCTGACTATGCCCACTCCACATCAGGCAGCCTAGGCTCTGACTTGAAAATAGCAGGTGGCTCCATGCAGCCTGAGAGCTTCTTGTGTGGAAACCTGTGCCCCTCAGCTGGCTGGACTGCCACCTTCAGCCGCAGCCGCGCATTCCCACTAATGACCACCTGTTTTACTCTGCTCAAAGGACCCCCACCACCTCCAGTCAAGCCAGGGATGCACCTGGCTGAGCTGATTCACCAGTTCAGGAATATCTTTACTGGTTCCTATCTCTGGTCAGGGTATTGTGCAGCTTTTAAGTTGGCTGTACCAGCACTGGAGCGATGGGCAGGGCTGAGACTAAAGATGCAGACAGAGGAGTCTAGAAATGGCTTGGACCCCCCCATTCCCTCCCAAGCGTGGGAGCTCATCCAGGCTCACCATGGCAGACAAAGCCTTGCCCAGCCTGGGGGAGGGGTGGGAAGAGACTTTGAGGCCCAGGCAGACCAGCCCCCCATTCAAGTGCTAATGAGCTCCAGCAGGAGAGAAGCGGGTTAGGGGAGGGAGGCTGCCTGTGTACCAGCCCACCTGGCTCGAAGAGCTCTGCCACACCCCCAAGACTAGGCCCCAGAGATTAGGCCTTCAGGCCCTAGGACAGTCAGTCACTTCATCCAACATCAATTCTTTGCAAACCCAGGCCTCCCACTTGCTGTGAACTTCCTGGGGGCAGGGAAGGGAGTTCCCCAGGGTCCCCAAACTGTACCCAGGCAGCTCTGTCTTTGATAGCAGGGGATCCCTCATCTGGTTTTGTTTGTTTTCTCTAACCCCCAGGCTCTAGCACACTGTACCCACAACCCCTGAGCTGTACATGATAGGCAGCTCTTGCAGCCAAGATTCTAACCTTTTTAAAATTTTATTTTCTGTGCATTGGTGTTTTGCCTGCATGTATGCCTGTGTGAGGGTGTTGGAGCCCCTGGAATTGGAGTTATATAGTTGTGAGCTGCCATGTGGGTGCTGGGAATTGAACTCAGGTCCTCTGGAGGAGCAGCCAGTACTTTCTTTTCTTCCTTCTTTCTTTTTCTTTTGGTTTTTTGAGACAGGGTTTCTCAGTGTAGAACAGAGATCCACCTGCCTCTGCCTCCCCAGTGGGGGGATTAACGGTGTAAACACCACCGCCTGGCACAGCTAGTACTTTTAACTGCTGAGCCATTTCTCCAGCCCCAGGATTCTAACTTATACCAACGTGCCCCTCTGGGTGGTCCAGCCAGGGTGTGCCTCCTGCCTCAGGCCAGGAAACACTCAACAGAGTCTTGGGAATATAGGCCACAATTCCAGTCTCAGTGCCTTTGTTGAATCGGTTCTCTCGGCCCTGGTGCCTGGCATTGGCCAATGGTGAGCCATCTCATGGGCCAATGATGTTCGTTTTGCAAGCTACTGAGGGACTCCTCCAGAAAGCATCTCTTCACAGTCACCATTAGAACAGTTCCATTGCCTCGCTGGTCAGGATCCCAGGCCAGCCCTCCCATCTGTCTCCTCGTTGGAAGCCCCAGGATTACATTCTCACTCTCTCATTCTCATATATTGTCCCTCACCCCCAAGGGCTGTGGCCTGCTGCAGGATGTGTCAGGAGCTTCATGGTTTATATATATACTTAATATGCACCAATACCAAATGCCTACCTTTTGCTAGACACAGACAGGACACAGCTACAAACTCCCTTTTCCTTTTGTAAATGCACTGAAGCCTGGCTTTGAGCAGTGCCTGCACTAACAAACCTGGAACACTCTTGATCATTGGTCTCCCAATGAGCACTTGTCACCTGCTCACGGTGCACCAAATGGTGACTCGGAGACCTCTACCTACCCATCCCTCAAACCAAGTTTACCAGATACATCCTTCATTCAACACACAAATGAAAAGGACCCAACCCTGCCTTGTTCCCTCAAGGGCCAACACCATGTCCTAGTGGGCACAGCAGGAACCCAGGGGACAGAGATACTATATCAAGCCTTGGTGGGACTGAGGGAGGATTCTAGGAGATCTATGAATGGAACACTCAAAGGCCTGTGGCAAGACAAAACACAGCATCTACTCTCCGAGCCTTCCTGGAGTCCACAGTGGGCATTGTTTTTCCTGGTATGTCCAGTTCAGGCTGTCACCAGAGCCCCAAAGTCCACCTAGGCCCAGCTAGTCAGTCAGGTTGAACTGAGGGTCTGCAGGGGGGCTCCCCTGCAGTGAGACTGGTATCAGCTTCTCTACTTGCTCCACCAAGCTGCCAGGGAAAACTATCTTGCTGGTGTGTACCACATCTGCCTCTGCCCTGGTGACAGTGACTGTGACCGACGGCTGGCAGGGATACAGGGTATGGAGGGAGACAGTGCGGGTGGGGCAGCAGGCGTGGTTCTGGCTAGGAGGGAAGATTGGCACTTGCCCAGCCTAAGTCCCCGTTGCCTGGACAGAGTCTCCGGCTACGCAGAACCGGTGCCTGGAATTCTGAACCTGCTACAGCTGGGATCCCATTGTCACTTTACTCCTTCATGAGGAAGTGAATAACTCAAGCCAGGACCCCTTCCCAGGTGGCAATGACTGAGTGAGTGGTCATGATGACTGGGTTGTCCATTTCAGGCAGAGCTCTCAGTCCTTGGTTGTACACCCTCTCCAGGGTCTTAGCCTCACAGCGGGTACTCCTCTGACACAAACCAGGAATTTCATTATGGAGGAAGGAAAAGCCAGAGAGACAGGATCCTGGGATAGACGGTTCCATGGTAAAGTGTGAAGTGCTAAGCCAGACCTTATACCACTGGCTGATGTCAGCCTAGCGTGGGAAGGGATACCGGGTCCCACTTAGTCTGTCCCGAAAGCTGAGCTGGGCTCTGAGAGACAAGCCTCTCAGGATAGATAGAGGAAGCCTTGTGTTACAGAACAGGCCGGGAGTCCTGTGCAACCAACCCCCTTCCCCCGACTCTCTGGTCCAGACAGACCCACATCTCCTCAGCTACCACAGTAACTGCAATAAACCTGGGAGGGGCTGGTGAGGGGCTCCGGGCTGGGCACCGGGAGGTAGCGGTCCCGGAAGTGCCCTCCGTAGGCTCAGCAGCAACGGACATTCCGCCGCCCGCCGCGTCGACACCCACTCACTGCTCGCCGCACTCGCAGCAGAGACAGGAAGAGGCAAGCGCCCAACGCAAAGCAGCCCAGGAGGCTGGGCCGCCGCCCCTTCCCGCCCCTTCTCTTCCTCCCCGCGGCAGCAGCGGAGCGGATGCCATTTTGAAACCTCCGGGGCTGTGCCCCCAGGCCGGGTCCGCCGGGACAGTCAACAGATGGAGCCATAAAGACAGACACGCTGGTTCGCGGCCACAGGCCTGCCAAAAAATGCCAGGCTTTTCATAGCCTGCAGGCCCCGCGGCGGCCCTGGGACTGAGGGGCCACACCCCCCCACATAGTATCCAGCCGACTGCGCTGCTGCTGCTGCTGCGCCGCCGCCGCCGCCAGGGCCTTCCTCCCCACAGTCCCCAGGACCCCGCGTTTCCAAGCCAGGCTGCCACGGGGAACCACTCTGACTCCCCGTGGGAGACTGGACACGACCACCGGGCCCACTGCCTTTGCCAAAGCCTAGCTTGGATGCCTCCGGGCACACGGGGCTACCGGTCGCTGACTCCCCGCCAAGCCCTCATTCAGCTTGCCCACCGCCCCGCATCCCAGGATTCCTGTGGGAACCAACAGGTCCACTCAGTATCCTAGAGGCCATCCTCCCGGGCCTTTCAGCCCTGGCTATGAGAACCCCGGCACCCGTCAGCAGATCTCTTCAGACACACAGGGGCAGCAACATGTCGGTTGTCTCACAACTTCCACTTCCCCTCAATCCCAGCAGCCACCATCTTCCTTGGCCTTGGACGTGGCTACAACACTAACTCCTCCATGTTCCCTCCTATTGCCCAGACTCCCCTGGCCCTGGCCCAGACAAGCCTTGGAAACTAGGAAACACATTCCCAGGGAATGGAACTTGCCACAGATGCTTGAGGCCTGGTCCCGCTTCCCCATTGTGACTCAGTCCAGCCTCTTGGGGAGGGGGGGGGTCCTGCCCAACTCAGCCTAGACCCACTCCAGCCCCTGGTCGCCCTCCTCCCACCAAGGCCCACCTGGTACAGGAGGGTACAGAATGGAGCGATGCTAGTGTGAGAGAAGACTTAGAAGAGGGGCAGATGGCTTGGGGGGCTGATGCCTGTGGACACCTGGCATGGAGGCTCTACAGGGATTCAAGCTAGGGAGGACTTGAGAGTAGTCAGTCAGCCCCCCCCGCCCCCCAAGAGGTTCTCAAGGGGTCAGAGTGCACAGGTTGGAGGATCCAGATCCCAGAGTAAGGCTAGGGGAAAGAGGCTGGGGCTTGACAAGGGTCCCAAGGAATGCTCATGCCAATAGAAACAGAACAGGTGGAGCTAGAAGGTGGGAACCGGCGGGTTCTGGGGTTTTAAGTGAAGCCCAAGAAAGTGTGGAAACACGAGGCAGAGCTGATCAGGACCTCTGATAGTAGGGAGGAATAGTCAAGCAAGGTTTGGTGTCTGGGTATGGGGGTTTGGGATCTGGGATGAGTTAAGGGTCTGAACTAGAGTCCCGGACGAGGATTAAAAGTCTAGATCAACCTAGCGCTTCCAATCCTAAAGGGGGGCTCCGAGGGGCTTCAAGCACAGGTATAGACAGTACCCACGCCGGGGAGTTTCAGGTCCTTGTCTGGGGGGTCCCAGAACCGGGCGCTGCCTCACCTAACAGCAGCAACTTCACCTCCCGCGCCGCCTTCTCGCCGTCCTCCCGCAGGTTCTTGTCGATCATCTTAGAGCGCTCGGCTGCCGCCTTGTCCTCGGC